ATATGCGGCAATCCTGCAGCATTAGGTATTGCAAAAGCTGTGCTTGTCGGAAGCCACATGTCAGCATGTCTTTAGCAGACCATCTTCTGGATCTTAATGGAATCTAAATGCCTGTCTCACCTCGACACATTAGTAAGCACGAACGTACGCAATGTGGTGCTCCTCCACCTGCTGCTAGTGTTGCAAGCTAGGAAACAGCGACAGTAACGGCAAAAGCTGCAGCAACAACAACAACAACAACAGCAACAACAACTACTGCTGCTAATTACTGCTACTGCTGCTGCTGCTGCTACTGCTGCTGCTACTGCTGCTGCTGCTACTACTACAACTACTACTACGACTCCTAGTACTACTCCTGCTGCTACTACTGCTACGACGACGACGACGACTACTACTACTACTACTACTACTACTACTGCTACTACTACTATATAATTATCTACTAGTGTCGACAAAACATGATATAGTACCCTACCACTACTGCTACTGCTACTGCAGCCAAGGAGCTGGAGTAATGCTAGCAGCAATATCATCTTCGAAGGGGCTTTTGAGCCAAGACTCTCCGCTTTAGTGGATAGGGTTTAGGGAATATAGGGTTTAGGGTTTAGGGGGTCAAGAGTTTGGGTTTAGGGTTTTAGGATGTAGGGTTCAATGTTCTGAGTCTGCGAAAACTATCTGTGGTAGCCTTACATGTGGCAGTACTGTGCTTATGGCCCCTCGTAAGGATTTGGTGCCCTAGTTAGTTTCCTGGAGCCCTGTGCTTGTATGCTGACCTCCAGCCCGAAACTCTGAAAAAAGTCCTGTTTTATTAAACCTCCCAAATCCTGAACCATTTTGGGACCCGCGACCGCAAAGTGTTCCTCGAAGCAAAAAACTCCGACGGCTACACAAACGCGAACCCTACACTCTCAAGCGCCGATGTATCGACCTTGAGCCAAAGTCCAGACTTACCCCAAAAATCTGGTGGCCACACTAAAACATCCCACTATCCTTGCCCAAAGACAACCCACAGCAGTTCATACCGAAGAAGGTCATGTCATGTTAGAGGATGCATATGGAACCTCCTCCACCGCCTCCACCTCTGACGAGGAAGAACTGGACGAGCTTGAAGAAGATGACGATGAGGAGGACGACGACGAAGTGCGCTGTCGTGGCGGTATGCAGTGTTTCAACCAAAGCTGAACTGCAAGACAGGCGCAGCCGACGGGCGTGACCTTGAGGTCGCGCGCCGCCTTGCGCACGGCACCGACTGCTATCACGTCATCCGTTTTTTTTTGAGCTACTTGTTGCAGCGCTTCTCGAAGCACAGCCTCGTACGACGCGCTGTCTCTCTTGCCTCGGAGGGCTGCTGTGTGAATGCAAGCGCTTCTGCAGGCCCATGTATCGCTGACCCAGGATAAGATCACTGCAGCGTAGTGTCGTGGCCTCTTGTCTTTGGTCTTCCAGCCATCTGTAGCAAGCACAAAGCGTGCGATGCATACGGTCCCAGTGCAAGCTACACACTGATACCACTGAGCTCGGGAGTAGCCGGAAGCGTGAACATCGCAAAGAGCCCGAAACCCTAACCCTCTCGAAAGCAAGGCCTTTACGGGAAAAAAGGAGTCAACAAATGGGATTAGGATTTGGGGGCGTCTTTCTTGTATATTTACTATAATTTTAAGGAACCCTTATAAGAATAGTAAAGCAGGCAAGGCAAGCATTAAAGAGAGGGCAAGAGTTGTAAGGTTCCACATCTGAGGGTACCATAAACCCTAAACCCCACGGTTAAGGATTCAGGTTGAGGGCTTACTTGCTATATACTTAAAACCCATACTAGGGACTTATAACCGCACTTATATTACAACTACCCATGAACCTCCAAGTATTAAACTCTAAACCCTAAACCCTACTATGAGTATTAAGACTAATGCTAATACTAGTACCGTTTAATTTTGCATCCAACCTCGCCGGCCGAACCTGGCCTGTGACCACCATGCGGTGATACAAACAACAACACCTGGGTAGTTCTCTACATTAAGGTGGTTGTCAATAATACGGTCCCTCTTTTGGGTCCTTATTATAATACGGCACCCTATTTTTATTTAAGGGTACCCCCAAAAGAGACGGCACCCTTCCGAAAGGACCCTTAAACGGAGAACATCCCAAATAGCACACATGGCGGAATATGCACAGGGTTTGGGGTTCAGAGTTCGCAAACGCCGACCAGGAAAGAGCTAATTCCAAAAAGGTGTCGCAGTCCTGGGCCCAGGTACTCGCTAGGGTGGTGGGGTGGTCAGGTAAGCCTCACCTGCCCCTTGAAGACTGTGAGCCCGAACAGCACATCTCACTGGATTTTACCCCATCTTGAGTACTTGAGTGGTTCAACGCTTATAGGGCTGAAGTAAGATTTAAGGGATTGAAAAAATTAGCATCTGGTGATACGAGTAATAAGGGCTGAGAGGGGGCCTTACTGCGACTTGGCTAACCAAGAGTGTTTGTTCGTTCCTGTCTTGGGAACTTGCATTACAAAGGGTCCAAGTATACAAATCCTTAGCATGGCTATGGGGACCTAATGGATATTGGGGACTATTGTTGGGGATTATATCGGGACTACTATAGGGATCCATTCCCCCATTCCCTACTCAGAACCAGGCAGTCTTGGTATTACAGTGGGTGGTTGTCAAAATTATGGTCCCTTTTTGGGTTCCTATTACAATACGGCACCTAATATTTGAGGTACCCAAAAAAGAAACCCCAATTTTGACAACTACCCAGATATTTCAGTCCCTGGCGGCTTGCGCCATCCCAGCTCGTGACCACTGCCTTCTCACCAGTCCTCAGCAAAGACTGTCGGGTGCTTAGTAGGGAATGAGGGAATGCATCGCTCTAGCAGCCCATATATAATCCATTATAATCCCCAATAGTAGTAGCCTCCATAATCCATTCCAAAATGCCCTGCTAAGAACCAGACAGAATAAGATCAGGGGGTTCATCAACGGCGTGGGCTCTAACATCAACCCGAAACCCGACACACTCAACCCTAAAGTAGAAACCAACCCGAAACCCCACACACTACAGTAAACCCCATAAAGTTGGAAACCTGATTAAGGCCAAATAGTGCTGGGATTCCCTATACATTATTCTTAAGGATTGAGGCTATGGGGTTTCCAACTTTTCTGCTTCTACTGTAACCCCTAAACCCTAAACCCTTTATAGAACCCTTATGGATCCCTTTAAGGAACCCTTAAAGGATACCATACTTCTATTTAGGAACCACCAAGAACCAGAACAAACAACAGGGCAATCAGTCTAAGACCCCTCACAGGCGGTGGGTGGACTCTGCTCTGCAAGAACGGGACTGCTGGATCTCAAAGCCAGAACCTGAAAGTCTCAAAAATCTGTGGCCCTACAGTACGTACCCTTATTATACTTAGTTGCTGAGTTCGTGAGCACGCAAAAGTGTACACTTTCAGTTTTATAGTGGGTCATATTATCTCCAAAAGTGTAAAATGGATCCACTCAGCTACTTAGTATAGTCTCCCTTACAGCTGCCAGTGTTCCCTTAACAGAATCCTTAAAGTTCTCCGCCTCCCGGCGCTGGGTGGTTCAAGGCTTTGCAGACGTTGGGAAACCCCGATTCCCTAGAGACTGGAACCAGTAGACGACTGTGGGAACACCCGAAAATGTATACAATACTGCCGAAGTCTGTATGTAGTAGTCATGTATACAAGCCATCCGACAAAGAGCTTCACAACTATCCACATGCGCTCTTGACGAAGATGTAACACTTGTAGGTAATGTTGGAGGAGCTTTTACCTTCGGTCCAGGGATCCAACACCTTAGGGGTATCGACTCTCACGGCTGCCGTTTGAGTCGCGGAAATTGTCGTGTGGGACTTCTGCAGAAGGGCGAGTGTTCCCGAGAAAGCCGAAAAACACGTTCATTAAGGAGCACATCTTAAATGGGAAAAACCTCCTCCCTCCCTGATGCAAGGTATACTTTGGGTACGGCCCCCACACAGTAACAGTCTATAATAGGGCTACTATCAAGGTCCTTATATCTCTATATTGTGAATATTATCCAGCTGTTACTGAGTGAGGCAGTACCCAAGGTCTCCTTCTCAATTTACCTGAATGGTTGTCAAAATTAGGGTCCCTTTTGGGTCCTTATTATAATACGGCACCTTATATTTAGGGTACCCAAAAAAGGACCCTAGTTTTGACAACTACCCAATTTACCTGGTTTGGGAGTCTCTGCATCTCTGAGGTGCTTGCAAGGAGAGATGCGCCTGCGAATGGGCGCGCTCGACCCGAAAATCTAGGTGCCTGAATAATTGGAAGATAGGGTTTTGGGTCCCTGTACAGTATAACTCCTAATCTAGGGGCCTGAACAGATAGAATTTGAGTTTTGGGGCCCTTTATAGTGTAATTTTACAAAAAAATGTAGGCAATTGCCCCTATATTAAGTGTCCTTCTTTGGCTCACTCAATCATTGTTGGATGGCTGACACTGCTAGGCTAGGATGTAGGTTAAGAGGGTTGACAGTGCAAGGCTCATGATATTTAGTAGGGCCCCCAAAAACCCACATAAGCAAAAATTGGGATAGGGATATCCCATATAAACCCCCTTAAAGGTCCCTAATTTAGGGTCTATGACTTCAAGATTTCTGGCTTCCGCCGAGCTGTTTTGTGAAGATCTCCGAGCGACGATCAGTCGGAAGGGTGAAACTGTGAGACGTCCATCCTCTGGACTCGCCTCCTTCTGAGCAAAGAACTGCGAACATCCGAAGATTTCAATTTCAGAAGACATACTCCAAACCCTATTCTAATCAGAACTTCGTAATTTCTAGTAAAAGGTATATAATAGCAAGGCGGCGAAAATCAGGGACACCAATGTAAACGCCGAAGCACGCTGCAATGACCCGCAGGTATCTCTAACTTGTGCTGCGGCCTGTTACTAGTACGGCTGCTCCACATCCTATATACCCTAAACCCTAAAACGAGCTCCCTGTGTACTACACCCCTAGAAAGGCTTGTGCCGGTACGGCGAGTCAGCTTCCGCGATGGGAGCAACGAGCCGGATTTTTCGAGGCCTCACGTCGGTTTAGGATTTTTTGGCGCGTCCGACTTCGCAAGGACGAGCCCGGAGGGCAAAGTTGAGGGGTCTATGGTTTAGGGGCCAGATGGGAGTTTCCGAAGGGGACCCTAATCTAGTACCTTACTTAGGATCCTTATCATAAGCACCCCGAAATAAGGTACCCCTAATTTTCGGAAACTCCAAGATCTTGAAGTTGGAGGCAGGGGTCCCAATTTTCAGATGAAGAAGGATTTGCACCTAAGGGGGTCTGGATTTCCGGTTCTACACCAGGGTTGTCCTTTGAACGAGGGCCCTTACTGCGGATTCAGGGTTTAAGGTTTAGGGTTTAGGGGTTTAGGGGTTTGGGGTTTAGGGGTTTAGGGGTTTAGGGGTTAGGATTTAGGGTTTAGGGGTTTAGGGTTTCGGGGTTTAGGGTTTCTGACTCTCCGATGTTGAATACATGGCCGCATGGTACAAGAGCTGCAAAAATTCGCAGGATCCAGCAAATCGATCCGGAATTCCATCCTCTGGGAGATCATGGAACTTGGTTACGGTTGCCTTTCGGAATAATGCGTGTCATGATGGTCGGGTGCAGGGATTCAGGCATGTCTTCTCGTAATACGTGTACTGCCTTGCCCTTCTCGACATTCTCGGGCCCGAGACCCTAAACCTTAAACCCAAAATGGTGAAAAGAAGCAAGCATTGCGACTTTACCTGAAACACCCCAAAGCACCCGAAAAACCGCTGATTTACAAACCCGCGTTGGTCCTAAACCCTAACCGGCGCCTAACCGGTATAAACAGAAGGCTCTATAACCCCCAGAGCAGAAGCCTATCCAAAACCTGTGAAGTACGAGTGTACCGGACGTTGTAGAACCTTCACCGCGCACCCCTCAACCCGAAACCCTAAATCTTTAAACCCTAAACCGTAAATCCTAAACCCTAAACCTTAAATCCTAAACCGCACACCCCTCAACCCAAACCGAACAGCCTGGCTTTGAGGGCACTTGAAACTCCGAGGCCAAACAAGGCGGCACAGCTCCGGGCACCCTAACCCTAAGGGTTCCTCTTGCGGTTTCTCTGAGGGCTCCTTCAAGGGCTCGCTATAGAGATTCCTGTAGGTTTCCTTTAACAGCTGATGTGAGGTCATGTGCCATTACTGTATATTATTACACTTGGGCTTTGAAGGGGCGTCTATACAGGTACTTCGGGGCGGGGCCTATGTATATTCTATGTAGGCACACCGGCCCTTAGGAACCCTTTTACACCTGGACTATGCATATGCTAAGGGCCCCTAGATCCTGAACACTTTTTAACTAAACTTGAAACTCTGCGCCCTCATTGGCACCCCCGTTGACTTAGCCCTTAAAAGGGAACCACAAGGAACCCTAAACCTACTTGTCGGGTATCATGGGGAACTAAAGGTTAACCTTTTGGTTATAGAGGGACTATACTACCCGGAAAAGGGTTAAAGGTTACCTACTCTACTACTAGGCCACCCTAAGCCCCAAATCCTAAACCCTAAAACCCCGAACCCCAAACCCTAAAAACCTAAACCCTTTTTAAACCCTAAAACCTAAACCTACTCTTCTACTACCTGAAGGACGAAATGACCCTTAAAAATAGGGGCCCTATACCCATATACTATGAACTCCTATATGGTAGATGAACCTTAAACCCTTTTAGGGTTCATTTCGTCCTTAAGGTAGGTAAACCCCTAAATGAAGGGCACCGGGGCTCCCTGCACGCGAGGCGTACGACTGTAGGCTTCCCTCAAATAGCAGATGCCCTGCTGGAAGATCTTGGCCTCTTCGGTTTAGGGGTCTTTAGGGCTTTTGAGGCGTTAGGGTCTTAGGGCCTTAGGGTTTAGGGTCTTTAGGGCTTTTGAGGCTTTAGGGTCTTTAGGGCTTTTGAAGCTTTAGGGTCTTAGGGTTTAACGGTTTTAGGGTGGCTTTCTTCGCTGCAAAGCTTTGGGGTTCAAGGTGTGTAGCGTTTCCTGGTTTGGGGGCTTAGGCTTTCAGGTCTTTTAGAGTCCCGGTCTCGAAGATTTGGCTTTGAATCAATGGTGATTTAGACCTTCGGCTGGAAAAACTTTGGGCTTGGAGTTTCGGTTCGTTTCGAGTTTCAGTTTTAGGTTTCGGCCCGCTCTTTTGTATACAGTGATTGTCACTACGGCCACATTAGCATTAGCAGTAGCAAAGCTTCTGAAAACAAAAGTAAGGGTTAGGCTGCAACGGGGGCTCGCGGTCCAACAGCAAGAACCTGAGTTCCTTTTTCGGAGGGTCGGAGGCTTAGATGACCGCAAGACATAAGCACAAGCTTCTAAGCCACTGAAAGCTTGCAATGTGCCTGCAGAAGACTGAACAGGGACTCCACTTTCTGGAGCGGTAAGCTTGCAATCCATTCTTTGTTCAGAGTCTTGGAGTCGAAGGGGCGCGTACGTTCTCAAAACGCAGTGACCATGCGAATAGGCAGCCATCTGCGCCAGGGGTCGTGCGGCCAAAAGGTGAACCCCTGAATCTCTCGAAACCGACTCGTAAACACTCAGAGCGGGATACTGTGTGGTACTACAAAATGAAGCATGCCACTTACACTGAACTCCAAAATTGTGCAAGTGAGGGCGTGGGCCTTGGTTTCGGGTACGGTGCCCGACTACCTTGACTTCATCCCGAACCCTACTACACGGGCCGCAAAATTGGAACAGGGTGCGCTCAGCATCAAAAATGGGGAACCACATATCTGAAATACCACTGCTATTGTTCGCACTCCTATCCTAAACCTGGACTGAACAAAGCCTCATCAACTCCAAAAGCGCCTCTTCCATCAAGTGCTCAGCAGCCTTCTCGTTGCCTTCGCGATAACCCCGAAAGCCTCGGTTTGCGAAGGAGAAAAGAAAGCGCCCACAAAAATTGGACTGCGCCTTTGGGTTAAAGACTGTATATGATCATTTTCAGGAACCCTGCAGAACAGCCTTGCTAATGAAGGCTTTTGGTTTATAGTTGACGCTACGCCCTTTCAAGGGTTTGGTTTTAGGGAGTCGAAGTACTCAACAAGTGACTACTTCGGCCCGAAACAACTACCTAGAAAGCTCCTGTTTAGGGCAAAACATTCGATTCCAGTCAAGCGGCTTTATGGATTTCCTCTGTTGTCTTTTCAATGAGGGTTTACAATTTCAGTATACCGGCTCTCCTGGTGGTTTGATCTTCGCCAACGACAGGTAAGAAACTCAGTAGCGCAGGGTGCTCTAGCTTATGGACCCTGCTTCATACCCAACACTGCCCTAAACTTGTCAGGGGCATAACCCGACAGGTCCATGTACCCAACTAGTATGTACTTTGGCCCCAAAGTACTTGTAGTCCCCGCACTTGGGTATATGGACCCCTAGGATAGTACTCTAACAAGACCTCAGGGCAGATACTAGTTCAAAACAAGCCACACGAAACTCAAAATCCTAAACCCTCGTGCAACTCATGTAGGGACCTTGATATATAGCAGAGAGTTTAGCGCCTGTTCAGAGAGTATAGTTCTAACAGTAACATGGGGCCGTAAAGAATAACACGGTCATTCTTCAGGCCCCATATTGGGTCTGTCTGAACCCCAACACCCCAAACTTCGACATGCTAGCTGCTAGACCCTACCTGGACCCCAAAGAATTCACCTTTTCCGGGCTACTTACTATGATTTTCTTATAGAAGATCTCCAAAGAACTTAGGCCTTGGGGGTCAAAGGTAAGCCCCAACAAACAAGAGGCCACAAAGCCTTGTAGACCCTGGCCCCTAAAAATCCGAAAGCTTATCAACAGCTCATTGGAAGGCCAAAAGGGGGGTCTAAGATTCTTGGGGTAGGGATTCCTTAATATGAACCCTATTATGGGAACCCTAATCCCTACTAAACCCCCATAGGCTAAAACCACTTTTGGCCTCCTACGAAGTCTGCCGCTTCAAGTTCACAGCGGCTAATACTATTTTGGGTGGGGTTCCTTATCATTATGGTAGAATGGGCCCCAAAACCCTATTCTCTTTACTAAGGCCCCTACTTCGCGGGGCAGGGGACTTAGTAAGTAGGTTATCAGTAGGGTTATAATTGGGGTAACTCCATTTAGGGCACTTATAACTCTACTTATAACCTACTTACTAAGTCCCCTGCCCTTCCAAGTATAGTATCAACAGCTGGGCGAGCGACGGCGAACTTCCGTTTCGGATGTTTCGACCATCGCCTGGAGGGTTTTTTTCGTTTACGTCAGCGCAGGGCTTGCAGTTTAGGGTTCCTGTAAGGGTTCCTTTAAAGGGTTCTATAGGGATTTAGGGCTCCTTTCAGGGTTCCTTTAAAGGGTTCTATAGGGATTTAGGGTTCCTTTCAGGGTTCCTCTAAAGGCTTCTATAGGGATTTAGGCCTTAGGGTCTTTAAGGGTTCCTTTAAACGGTGCTATAGGGATTTAGGGTTTAGGGGTTTAGGGATAATATAGCTTTAGGGCTCGGGTTTTACGGCGCTAGTTTTTCCCTCCTACCTAGCAAGGACAAGGCCCGCAAATTAAGGCGTTATGGCTTGGGGGGTTCGGGCTTGCGTAGGGAATGTCAAGCACTATAACGCTAAACCCCAAACGGCTTGGGGTGTGGCCAAGGCACCCTCACCGCCTCCGTCACCCCCGTTGTCATTGGGGGCAATGATGAAGCCGCAAACGGTGGGTTGACCAGAATGCCCTTCGCTCCGGTCTTCGTCACAACCAACGCAACAACGTCCCTGATTGGCCCAGGGTTGGCGCCCTCAACTACCTTCTCTTTCGGCCCTGATGTCACGAAAGCCCCTGTTGTGACTATGATGCATTGGTCCGTGGACTCCGCATCAACGTCGAACATCTCCAAGATCTGGCTTTCGCGGTAGGGTTTGGGGTTTCGCGGGCGCCTATCTGCGTGGTTCTGTGTCAGAGTGAGCGGCTCAATGCTCTGGCATCCAGCATCTGCTGTACAGGCTGGGCAGAACAGGTTCCTGGCTCGGAATCATCCCAACACCTCATGAACTCTCAATCCTAAAAGCATACACTCAGGTTTAGGGTGTAATGCCGAACCCTGAATAATTGTCGATATCATTCCTGAGGATGGCTGACTATGATCATACCATAATATGGCCCGAAACACTTGCTGACTGTTTGCGGCCCCTATACTAACTACGTACATCCTTCCACTAAGGATTCAGGCAGTTGCAAAAACGCCCACATAGCATCCCTTGCAGGAACCTCTGACGGAACCTTATTCCAACTATTCACGTGCTTCTATCACAGAAGCCAGGTTCAATCAGCCCTGCAAGCGAAAGCCGTTGCAGATAACTGAAGGTCTGGTGTAACGGGGTGAGCCCCTAGCTCAGCTGAAACGGTGCAAATCAACAAATCCGGGGTCGTAAGTACGAGAATCAGGTTCTAAGGATTGCCTACAGGGGAATACTGCTTCCATTATAGCTCTTAGTAAGGGCTACTCTTGTCAGTCGAAAACTTCTCATAATTGACACCGGCACATCAGCGTCATTACTACTCTTATTCATATAATTGTCGTGATTGTTCTTATCATTACTACTGCTACTGCTACTACGATGACAGCTGTATAATCATAAATCAACACCATTAGCACAACTAACATTATTCTGACTACTTTTGATGTTTGAATATGAACAAAAGCTAATAATTAGTGTTATGACGATCAGTATCAACATTCTTGTGTCCAAAACTTTCGAAATCGTAGGTAATCAGGCCACTGCAGTCCTGCCTGCTTCTTCACCTCCATGCGGGCCTCTCGTACGGCTTGGGATGGTAATGCTAGAGTTTAGCTGAAAGGTTTGTGATTTGGTTACTCTCAAACCCAAAAAAATTCGCGTGAGGGAAGAAGGAGGCCCCTTGCGAGCAAAAACAGAAACCCACAGGGGTTTCGAGCATCGTGTGCGCAGGATCTGGAACCAAGTGGTTAGACCCTCTGTGAGGTTGACCAAGCTCCCGAGGTCCGGTCCGGTATACTGAGCACTGAACCCTTCGCAGTTGAAGGCTTATGGCTGCGGCCCGCAATCAGTAAACACGAATTGTCCAAGAGAGCAGGGTGTGAGACGGGCCTTGTACTCACGTGCACATGCTACAAGAAATGAGACGGAAAAAGCCTTCAGGGACAGCCTTCAACCCAAACTCGAGGAGACCAAGGCCCCGCTACAATGAAGCAGCTACGGGCAACCTACACAGCTGTGGTTACACTCGTAGCATGTCCGCGTCGCCTTGAGTTCTTGCTCCATGCTTTCGCCCACCTCGCACGATGTTCAAGACTCGCTTTAACTTCAAGGAAATGTAATCTGCAAGATGTCGGAAGTTTAGGATACAGGGCTTGTGCCCGCAATGAAGCAGTAGCAGTGGCAGTGGTCCTCGTGGTTGTGGTGGTGGTGGTATTCGTGATATAGTACTGGTGGTAGTAGTTGTTGTTGTTGTGGTTGTAGTAGTAAACTTAGTAGTAGCAGCAGCAGGGAGGGTAGGAACCATTAGTGGTCTGGGGTCGTGTTCATGGAGCCGCTGTTGTGTACTATTGAAGATCACAGCAGCAGCAGCAGCAGCAGCAGCATCGAATGGTCTGAATTGAATCATGACGATGAGGGAAAATTCTGGAACTAAGCATTCAGACCAGACCCCTGTACAAGCCCGTCAACTCCTCCCAAACCTCCAAACCTTCAGCATGGAATGTAACCCCCGCGCAACCACCCTGGACCCTCAACCCTACCGTGAGCCTTAAACCGTTAACCCCCAAACCCCAAATCCCAACCCCGAAAAAGCCTTATGGAAGTCTTAGAAATTCGCAAGAAAACCCCTAAACTCGAATCGGTCATACCCGAGGCGGAGACCTCCTTGAGGTCCACTTCTTGGGTGTTTGACTCCTGGGTTTAGGCTTAGAAGTTCAGGGTTCAGGGTAATGTAGGGGCTTAGGGGTTTAAGGTTCCTATAGAGTTTACGGCTTCAGGGCTTTAGGGTGCAGATCTTGCTTCTGTTTCCAGCTGGATAAACTGCCTGCGGCAGAAGTCAAAATGCACAACCAGTGCCTCGAAAGTAGGTTTAGTGCTTCGGGCCTAGGACAAGGGGCCTTGGCACACCATGACAAGTCTCTCTACCTGCGAATCAGCACATGTATGTGACATACGGTACTAAAAACAACACTGTATTAACACATCTAACTACACGTATACATGTGCATATATATATATACATATAATTTGAGATGGATTTGTTGCATAATAGCTTGAAGGGCTTAAAGGGTTACTGGACTGGCTGAGCTAAATGGGTCAATCCCAAACAACGACTGGAATCAAAACTCGTCTAACAGCAGGCTCTGTCCAACAAACATCAAGACCCTTTTGCCGAGAAGGCTTGCATAATCTCGCCCCAAACTTCAGTGTATAGGCCGACAAAAGAATCCTTCTGTGACCCTGGGAACAGCCACTACAAGGCGCTGACGTCTTAAACTCCCACGGCTGATTCAACCAGGATCACAGGGCTGTTATCTTCTATATAATAGCCCCCTAAAGCGCATTCCGGTCGACCCGAAACTCTAAAACCAAAAACTCCTGAGCCCAAGCAATTGAATTCTCACCCTAAATGTCCAAAACTTACTTTGCCCACCTGCTGTGCGGACTGCACTTCATTCCGGAGGAGGTCGCTCTGTCGTAGGAGCCTCGTGGCTTCAGAGAGCTTCGGGATTTCAAGTGGTTTGGGGGTTTTATGGGGCTTAGGGGGTTTAGAGGGTTTTAGGGGTTTGAAGGGTTTCATTAGAGGCTTAGGGCTTTTAGGGTTTAAAGTTTCGGGTTGAAGTTTACGGCCAAACTTTAAGGTTCTTTCCAAGGCTCTATAAGGGGACTAACAGAGAGTTAGGGTTAAGGGGCTTTAAAGTTGCTCTACAAGCTGCCTATCAGAAGTTGGTTGCGACTTCAGCCACTTCGGGGGCAGTAGGGCTGTACGGCTTTAGGGCATCTCGGTGTTAGGGCTTCAGGGTTCCTGGATTTGGCGACACCACCACCACCAGCACCAGCAGCACCAGCAGCACCAGCACCAGCACCAGCACCAGCACCAGCACCAGCACCAGCACCAGCACCCACACCGGCACCGGCACCGGCACCGGCACCGGCACACCACCACCACCACCACCACCACCACCACCACCACCACCACCACCACCACCACCACCACCACCACCACCACCACCACCACCACCACCACCACCACCACCACCACCACCACCACCACCACCGCAAGACGACTAACAGCAACACAACCGACGTCAAACAAGACATATAAAAGCAGCCGCAGCAACAACAACAAGATAAAGACAAAGCACAAGAAGAAGCAGCAGAAGAGGGAGAGGAACCTGTTATTCCCATAACGGGCGATACCGGAAAAGGCTGCAAGCCCTGAACCACCCGCAGTCCAGAGCCGATTCCCCCTGAAGTTCGTGCAGTCCAGAGCCTGACCCAACTTCCAAATCTACATACCTCCCAAGTGTAGAAACCTACTCCTGATTATATTTTAGGGTCCTTAAGGGAGGGTGGTTCAAGGGGAGGGTACAAGGGATCCTTTGGGAACCTATAAGGGAACCTTAGGGAGCACTAGGGCCACTAGGGAGAACTAGGGATTGGTAGGTTATCCATCCCCCTTGGAGCCATCCCCCATAAGGATACTATAACCTAACTTAGCTAAGCTTCAAACCCTGATCGTTTTCAAGTTAGTAACAAACACAAGCGAATCCGCTTAGACTGCCGGTGCTTCCGGTCCAAACCTGGAAGATTCGGGTCGAAACAAGCTCCCCAGAGAGAGCCCAATACCCCTTAATTTCAGGAATATACCTAAAATCGTTAGGGGCTTCGTATTATGAGTTAAGCTATCCCTTTTTGCAGCAGGCCTCGTTGTCCAGCAGCCCGGTTACAGCAAGAGCCCCTTCCCCCAAACCCTTTAAGCTATATTCCTTAATTAAGGGGTATTGGGCACTCTGGGTCACTCCCATGCTATTCATGCCACCTTGGGTGCGGCAGACCGACGCTGCGCGAGTTCTTCGTCAAACGGCCGACGTAAAACAAGTAACAACTTGATGTGCTGAGAACCTGATCGTGAAAGCTCCTCCAATACATGCATTCCTGCGAGTGCTGCCTTAGGATTCCGTGCATGTCGCAGCAAGACATGAACGGGCTTACCGTTCCGCCTGCACATTTCATACAAAAAGGCATCGGATTGCAGTGCGGTGCCTTTCAACCGCTTAAGCACAGGCTCTGGCATGAACTGGATTGCTTGCAGGCTCGTGATGCTGTAGTGTCTGGGGCTCTGGGCCATGCGTGGGATCCTTCGGTACTATAGGAATCCTTGAACCCTGAACTTCCAGAAGACCGACGCGCCTAGCTCGGTAACAAACCTAAGTCCTACGTAAACTCAACATCTCAGAGCCCAAAGCCCAAGGCTTAACTCCTAAAGCCCAACTCCTAAACCCTAAACCCCAAAACCCTGAACCCTAAGCCGCAAACCCTAATCCCCTTAACCCTAAACCCCAAAACCCTGAACCCTAAGCCGCAAACCCCAATCCCCTAAACCCTAAACCCTAAAAGCCTAAACCCCAAACCCCTAATTCCCCTAAAACCCCAAACCCTAAACCCTAATCCCCTAAAACCCCAATAAGCTCGCTGTGCCGAGGCACTCGGTCTCCAGTTCAGCTATGGCCGCTTGTCCCCGCTTGTCCTGGCAACGGCTGGAACAGTCACACGGCTTTTTCGATTTAGGGTTTGTTGGATCTAGAACCCTAAACCCCTAAACCCTAAACCCCTAAACCCTAGAGTCTAGAGTTTAGGCACACGTCTTTGTTGCTTTGTTTTTTATCGCTCCTTTTCTCCTGCTTCAGTCACACGGTGTTTTTTGCGATTTAGGGTGTATAAAACACTCGCAACTCGGGCAAGCCAGACGAGGTGATTTAGGGTTTATAGGATCCAGAGTCTGCGGTTTAGACAAGCTTTCGCCATGACGTTGAGTTTTGGGCGCTATTGCCTGTAGCCGGCAACAATCTGCAGCAAGCCACTCAGTGAAGCACTATAGGGAATAGGGTTTTGGAGCCCATTATACTTCAATTATAGTAAGAGGCCCACCCTGCCCGGCCTGGCTGGCCAAGATCTCTTGCAAGGCCTTGTCCTCCTCCGCCCAACGTGCCTGGAATCCCAATGTTTCGGGTTCAGAGTTTAGGGTTTGTGGTTGGAGCTTAAGGGCTTATTTATTAGGGGACTGAGATAGTTTACTAGGTCTGTGGTTTAGCGTTTCGACGCAAAGGACGATGAGTTTATAGTCTTGCTGATTGTTCCGCCTCTATTATAGGATTGAGGTTTCACAAGGTTCCATACTAAGAGTAGGATGTACATCCGGTTTCACTAAGGGTGGATTGTCGAGGGTTTGCAGAGTTGAGGCTGTGGGGTTTACATGAACACACCCATGGGCTTCGGAATGGCTGGTTCGGGCTTCATTTTGAAGGTCCTCGCTTTTACCTAGCTTGAATTGAGGCTCTGGGTATGGATTCAGCAGCGTGAGTTCTATTCAGGGGGGTTGCTCGAACCTCGGGGACCCCCGCACCAATTTTGCGAGTTATTTGCGAAATAGTATTCCCTCAGATACTCGGACCCTCAGGACGGTTGAGGGTTCAGGGATGAGTAAGGAACACTGAAAACAGACTGAACACATTGCAAGCTTCCGCACCCGAACGGTTGGCTCGTCCTTCCTTCTTGTTTGACGGCTTGGCAGCCATTTCCAAGTCTGTATTTCTGTCAGGTCTGTATTCGGATGTCTATAGGGTTCAATGATCGTAAACGGCAATCTCCTCAGCCATGTCATCGATTAAAATTCGAAATTTTGATAGAAGCTCATGAAAGCCTCTCAACCGTAAACCTTGAACCCCAAACCCAAAACCCTGAGCCCTTTTGCACAGACTTGTATATGCCCGCCTGGATCAAACCCTGAACCCAAGACCCCGAGCCCCTGAACCCAAAACCCTAAGCCCTAAACACCTTGTCTCAGATCCCTAATAATTACTAGAACCCCTAAGTCCTGACCATTATCCCCAAGTCCTAAACCCTGAGCCCGAAGCCCTATAAGCCCTACACTTACTACCCCAATAAGCCACAGAAATAAAAGGTTCAACTTTCCGTTTCCTACACAACTATAAGAGTCCCAAAAAGTTTAGAGGTATAGGTATTGGGGATCTAAGAAACACATCCACAGCGACCTCTTATAGAACCTTTCAAAGGAACCCTTATAGTAACCCTAAGTCCTAAACCCAAGGCCCCAAGCCCTGTGAGCCCTACACAGTGTCAGCTCAAAGCCTCGAACTTCTCCTCCATCTCAGACAGCTCGCGTTGCAACTCTTCGACCTTCCCCAGGGCTTAGAGTTTTCGAAAATTAGGGGTAGCTCCTTTAAAGGGTTACTATAAGGGTACTATAAGGTTCCTTTAAAGGGGCTTTAGAAGGGTCTTAGAGTTTCCGAAAACTAGGGGGTACCTTATTTTGGGGTTCTTGCAATAAGGATCCTACAATTTAGGGTACCCGATTAGGATCCCCCATTTTGGGCTTAGGGTTTCGGGCTTTTTGGGGGTTTGGAGGCTTAGCAGGTTTGGGGGTACACTCTGAGGGGTTTAGGGGTTTAGGGTTTTGTTCCCTCCTACTTGGCAAGGACGAAGCCTGGGCTTAGGGGTGTTAGGGTTAAGTTGAGGGTTGAACCTAGACCCTAATCCCTAAACCCCTGAACCCTAAAGTGGGTTCCCTAGACCTAAAGTGCAGGCGGCCTTCCTCGACCTCGCGGCCACAGCTGATGCGAGGGCCGGCTCTGTTCCCGGCCGAAATTCCCAGTGCAGTCTTTGGGTCGCCAAAAATTATCTTTATATTAACCTTAAACCCCTAAACCCTAAACCCCTAAACCCTAAGCACTAAACCCTAAAACCATGCCTTTATTGTAGGGAGCTCGTGGCCCACCGGGGACTTGACATGCCCAAAGTGCCACTGACTGATCTGTTCTGTGCATTTCTGCGGCGCAAAGGGAAAACCTTCTGGTTGCAGCAGAAGCCGTTGGCTAGACCTAAGAGTAACCTAGGCATAAGCAGGGTGCCCTCTTTGGTTTAGACGGGGTTATAAGGGAACCTGAACCCTAAAAAGTGGAATAAGTGTCTACCTTGGGTCCTAGTTGGATGTGGTTCGCCAGACAGAAGACGCTGTTGCGAGCCGTTGTTTTGGAAAACGTGGTTGGAGCTGTTTCTGGGCATTCAGCAAGTCCAACAGATGCAAGTAGTAGCACGTGAGCCTTGGGTTTAGGGTTGCAGGTTCGAAGTGTTTAACCCTGAGTTCCCATAACCTAAAGGGCAAGTATACTTATGACCCATCTTAGGGGACTTATAACTGCGCTTATAACTACCCATGAACCTCCAAGCTCCACAGCTTTGCACACAGGGCTTGCGATGCTCATGCACAGGGCTTCGAGTTTTGCGTTCATGCGTTCCATGGCACATTCGCATCTTCCGACCATGCAATGTACTTCCGAAATCGCTGCCACCGCGTAGAGCAACACATGAAACCGGGACTTCAAAAGACCCAAACGTGAGATCTGGACAGGCAACAACAAATTAAAACCTTTAGCCTCCTCCGCAAACCCAAACACCCAAGACCGGCAGTGATATAGAAGCGGCCGTAGGCCTCGAAAAAGGCTTTGGCATATATGATGGCACCTTGAACTTGAGCCGCCTCCTTTTTGGTAGAGTCCCTATGAGCGCTCATGATAAGAGCCAACACACCAAAAGTAGGCTATGCTCGTTTAAAAGTTTAATGTATATTTATGTAACAAGAGATGCTAGTTACTCAGACCCCTAAATGGAATTCCAGGCACCTCCTGCTGATGGCGTGACCTGGTCGATCCGCATAGAGCGCGGGGGGGGGGGGGGGGGCTTCGCTGGACATCGCATCGCATCGTCAACACGAGCTCCCTTCGATTGTTTGGTTAGAGATTGCATGATGCAAATTAGAAGGTTGAATACTAAGTCACAGTAACAATTGCCCTTTATCATACCTTAGTATGCTCCCATGCAACCAAAGGAACCAGTATAGACCACCCAAACTCTTGTCGAAGCATTATCAAGACCTACAGAAAAAGCCATGTAATACCTTGCCCACAAACCTAGGTTTGGGATATGGGCTTTATCTGTCACTTTATCTAAAACTGTTTTTTGTAGGGTCACTAGAAATTCGAACATGTTCGCGTTTACCAAAAGAACCTACAGAAAAGGTACGTTATGGTGGTGTAAACAAGGGTTAGGATTGTATGCTTGGGAGTCCCCTAAACAGAAACTTGTGACTAGCTGCGGTTGCGCAGCCTCTGTACAGGTTCAGTGTTTAGGGTTCGGGTGTTTTGCCATTCTCAACTCAGCAAATCTCAGCCGTGGCTTTAGGGTTTTTGGTCCCAGACGGCTTGTTCTCAATGAGACCAACATCTACAGTACCAGTAAGTGGAGGATGGACATGACAGACATGCGTCGGCTGCACGGCCTGGCCTGAAACCTCAGCCCTAAATCCCAAGCCTATAAGCCCAAAGTTATAAACTCTAATAAACCCCCTGAGAGCTGCAACCCATCGTAGGACAACACAAAGCCAAGGTGCTTCCTTTGTTCCCACTGCTCCTGGCTTTCGTGTGCAAGTTGTGGAGCAGCGAAACACGAAAGCTTTAACTTTTGCCCGCAAGGTGTAAAGGATGGGTACTGAAAAACCAGAAGCATGACGCTATGAATCCATGAGGGGCATGATGTGCCGATGTGCATCATTTTGGGTCCGAGGTTTAGGGATCAGGTTTGGGGATCTATGTGCATCTATGTTGGGGCGTCTTGCGATGTCTCCGTAGAATCCGAACCCAGTGCTGATGGTCACATGCCCAGGCTTTCCTTTAAACACATCGGTTTGGGATTCTTTCCGATGATCTCCTTGAATCCGTTCCTTGATTCGGTAAGGTTTTCGCGCGGTTCTACAGGTAGGGACTGGAGGTTGTTAGGCTCCCTGCAAAATCTCCCCGAAACTTCTGAACCCTAACCCCTGAACCCTGACCACCGAACCCGGACCTCAAAGTCCAAAGCCCTACACCCCAAACCCTCTAAGGAAGAGAACCCGAATGGAACTCTTTAAGAAAAAGAACCTTTAAACCCAACAAGGGAACCCTAACTTTCTAGAACTCTTACAGTAAAAAACAGGAACCTTTAAACCCATTAATTACAAGGGAACCCTGATAGAACTCTTTAAGGAAGGAACCCCCTAGTACTAGCTTCAGAACCCCTCAAAAAAAACCACCCTTGTCCTGGAGAGCTTCGGACTTTTTCTGATGCTTGGCCTCGGGGGTGCCCGTGGCTGAACGGTTTAGGGTTAAGGTTTTTAGGGCTTAGGTGTTTAGAGTTTAGGTTTTAGGGTTTGGGTTTTTAGGTTTGAGGGTTTAGTATTGTCGGGCAATAAAGGGCAGAGATACTCTACGATGCATAGGGTTCTTTCCAACCTTTGCAAGCTTCTGTCAGATGTTTGTCGAGTTGGAAACATGTTTCTGGGATTTCTGCGGATCCGATGCTTTGTTTAGGCCGTACAAACACTTTGTAGCGTCTTGACATATAAGCCCCGTACGACTGCGTCTCGCTCGGAATTCTCTGCAGAGTTGCCATCTGGCTTCGCTCTTCAACTCTACTTGGAGGTTCATGCGTAGTTATAAGTAGGGTAACTAAACTCATGACCCATATTAGGGACTTATAACACTACTTATAACTACCCATGAACCTCCAAGTAGCGGCATCATGGCCAGCATCCGATCCTCGAACTTGCCCCTCAAGGCATCCACCTCCACTTTCACCACCCGCGTCTTCATGCTTGGGACTAAATCCACGGACTTCCTCACAGCTCACCCTGGTCTAAACCCCGTAAAACCTAATCATGTTTTGGGTTTGTGAGTGAGTTCAAAGTGATACCTGCAGCTTTTACGAGCCATGATACTTCTCGATGTTCACAAGCCCTAGGCTTTGCATTCCAACATAAAAAGGAACCAGTTCCCGAGCAACCCCGAGCCTAATAAATCTGGGCACTTGGATTATGAAGTCTGCGAAACAGTTTTGTTGAGTATTGATATTAGCCTTCTGTTCTGAAGCTGCAAGGAACGTTCTTAAACCCTCGACCGCCTGTAGGTAGCATAAGACGACCCCGAAAAGGAATCCTTTAGAACCTGAGCGGAAGACTTTACACAGAATAACCGCCAGGGCGGAAATCGCTGAGGTCGCTGCCCTAATGGCCTCCACTTTCTGTTGTATGCGATCCTGCTCGCTCCTCGTATTAAGGCTGTGCAAGGAGGGTCTTGAAGGGCAGGGCTTATCCTAAGCCCTTTTGTTGCAACTGGGTTTGGGCATTAGCCAGATCCTTGCATCACGGAAACCCTAAACCCTAAGTAATTACTCTTTGTGATCAAAGAGCTTGCGGGGATTTCAGGGGCACAGGCATTGGGCTTGGGCTTTAAAAGCTTGCTCTAAGCTTGACGGGTTGCCTTAGGCTTTGGGGTTTACGCTCTCGCAACTCGGACTTGCCAGATGGGTCTGAGATTTGGCTTGGTGCGGGTTTGGACTTCATGTAACTCGGACAACCAGGCTCGGCTGCTAGGATTGGGATCGAGAAAAATGCTCGCTGGGAGCTGTAAGCTTGATGGTGTATGGGCCAATTCTACCAGAAGTATATAATGAACGAACCCTGAGGAATAGTATTTGTAATTATTCCGACTCCGACCCACTGTAGTAGACCCCACGACCCTTTATGGAGAAACTTCCCATTGCTCGTCCCAGGCTCTGCACACGGGCGAGGTGCATGTCCGCATTTCCTGGGCAAGCAAAGCTCCAGGCTCCGGGAGGTATTCGTCATCATCACCATAGTCCCCAGAGACTGCAATATCCCTTAATTCAGGAATATACCTTATACTATAATAGGATCCCTAAAATGATTTAAGGAATATCCCTTAATTAAGGGATATTGGAGTCTCTGGGTCTTCTTCATCTTCACTTCCAGCCCCAAAACCTAAACCCTAAACCCTAGAGCAGAGCGACCGAGCGAACGCAAGACAAACCCTAAACCCTAAACCCTAAGAGGTGGAGCTTGCATGCAACAGCCTGAGACCGGTTGAGCCCGGACGTGCTCTTGCATGTCCTTTCCGAAACTAGGGGACCCTGATATAGTCTCCTAAATAGTAGGATCCTTATTGGATCCTAAAACAGGGTACCCCTAAATTTCGGAAACTCCCACATAGGGCTTAGGCTTTCGGGTCTAAGGTTTGGGAGCTGAGCTAGATCCCTTATGAACCCTTTCAAGAGCCCCTTAAGGAGACCTTTAAGGAACCTAGGTCTGGGGTTTAGAGCCCCTCAGCTTTGATTCGTCTCGTCTTGGTGGCAGAAGCTTCAGGATCTAGCATGTAAGGTTCTTCCAGCTTTGGGGGGGGGGGGCATCCGGCAGCTCGCTACCCGATGCATGGCTGCTTTGAACCTTCAGAGTGGCTCATCTACACCCGAAGGAGTCCATGTACTGAGGCCTCAAAGTAGCCTGGGTGCTTTAAGGTGAAATTATATACAAATCTGACAACATGGACCTTTGGGGACAGTAATGACTCGCCTCCTGCCCGGAATCCAAAACACTACGCCTGCCGGGGCTGGATCTCCAAACCAAACACAAGACGAGTGGCGCTTGATTTGCACGATCACTTTCGCTGGTTCACATTCCTGTCGTCGCCCGAATCTGGATTTGCGGGGGACGGAGGAGGGGGGGGGGGTGGCTGAGGAAAACCGGGTCTATTTGGAAGCTACCGTTCGGTAAATATACTCACACAACGATTGAAGAAGCTCTTTGTTCTAGATTTCCAACGACATCTCCTCACATTTGAACGTCGCTGGCTTGCCATGTACCATCACTCAATAGAGTCATTCCGCTTGAAGTTCAAGGCTGGCCCACTGCTTTTGGGGTTAGGCATGTCTTTTCGGGTTTACGCGCCTCTGGCGCACTCTTTGCCGCCATCTGGCTTCATTTTGGGTGCCAGCCTATTTTGCGTGCGAAACCGTTGGAAATTCTCGCGCGTCTGCCGAGTATGTATATATGTATACCGCCACGTCATGGTCTCTTATCAACGTTTCGATTCTTCACTTCGTGATATCCGATTGGGTTTTTGGGCCACCCCCATCCACTCCTACATCAGGTTCTGATAAGGCTCGGATGGTAGAAACCAGCCACTCGATTGAGGGTGTTGGGCTTAGGGAAGCAACCAATCTGTGTTGGAATTTAGATCAGCTCTACGCTCAGCAGCCTGCCATTTATTGGTGGGTTTCGAACTTACCACTCATAATCTCCTAGCTTGGTTCACCAGTGTGGCCCACCCAGTCTCGGGTTTATCTTTTTGATTCTTTTGGCACCGTGCCTTCAATCTAAGCGGCTTAAGGTTTTCGGAACCAATCATTCCTTTTGAGGCGTAGACTTTCATGTCTTGGTTTACCACCCATCTTCGCCTGTTGGCTTGGGATCTGGCCTCACGTTTTCACTCCAATTACGGGGCACCGGCCGGGCTACCGTGCGTGCGATTCCGCGCAGCTCCATGCGCATCTGAACATGTATGTGCCATCACACACAGACCAATTACTTATTGGCGGACATATCCGTCTATCTATCCCTCTACCTTTTTGCTTGTCTTATTATCTAGCTATCTATCTATCATCTAACTATCTATCTATCTAGTGCCTTAAAGGCTAGTCGGTTAGCCACTCCTTCAGGGGTCCACGTTTTTAACACCCTTCAATCGTGGCGGTTTAGGGGTTTCCGGAACCAATCCTTCCTTCTGAAGCATAAGCTTTTAGCTCGCATCTGCCTACGTTAGAACATGCATGTGTCACGATATGTGTATATGCATCGCTACGTACATATGTAGACGACACAGAGCTGTATCACAATACACAGCTGACATAATTATGTATGTACGCATGTATGTGTATATATGTATGTATGTGTGTATATATATATATATGTATATCTATTGATATATGTATATTATTTCTGTATATACATATGCTAACAAAGAGAGAGAGAGAGAGAGAGAGAGAGAGAGAGAGAGAGAGAGAGAGAGAGAGAGAGAGAGAGAGAGAGAGAGAGAGAGAGAGAGAGAGAGAAAGAGAGAGAGAGAGAGGGCACATACATATGTACGGTTTATATATGACATGCTAAAACATGCGGCCACAGTCTTTGTGCATGTATCCTAAACAAACATATGTATCTACAGCCATACATATATACATATCGAAATTTAGACAAGGGCCCTCTACCTCATGCTCGACAAGAAGACACTGAGAGCTTCTTCCAATCTAGGCCCCTCCAAGATATCAAGAAAAGAAAGTTCCGCTTACCGCTCAGTCGGCACGAAGAGACCTCCTTTTTGTTTAGGTAGGGGAAGAAGACCCTGACTATCCCTTTCACCCTTCGAAACATGGAAGAGAGCTTGTCATGCTCAAGAAGAAAGGTGGAGCTCCCTCCAACCCTGAAACAAAGAAGTCTGGTCCTTCCCTGAACTTTCACAAGGAAAAGAGTGCTCCTCCACCCCATGTTGTTCCATGAAGACAGCTCCCCTCAGTCATTCGCGGTAAGAGAGGAGAACTTCTTTCTAGAAGAGAACTCCTTTGTTTCTAGAAGAGAACTCCTTTGCCGCGAGTCTCAATCCGGAGAAGAGTGAAGAGATCTCACTCCTAGTAAGAAAAGACAGAAACCCCCCACCAATGTATAGGTTCTCTACCTCGCTATGGCAAGCAAGAAAAAGCTCCCTCCAAGTTGACGAGGGCTCCTTCATCCGTTGGTAAAAGAAAAAATCCTCTGCCGGGTCCTGTACCCAACAACTCAGAAGAGAGGCCCCTCTGATTTCTTGAGCAAGAAGAGAGCTCTGTTGACTTCTCTGTCGACAAGAAGAAAGACTCCTTTTCTCTCGCAGGGGCGCACGCGCCCGACCATCTCCTCCTCCTCTTCAAAACTTGGAAAAGCGCTTACGATCAAGCTCCAAACTTCAAACCTTGACAAGGGAAGTCTGGTTCTCCCTGCGGCCTGCAAAGCGACATCAAAAATCCCTCCACCTCATCCTTTGAAACAAGAACAGAGCTCTCTCCAAGTTACCAAAAGAGAGATTAGAGCTTCTTTCTACAAAAGAGCACCTTTACCTTTTGCAAGGTTTTTCATCCTGATCTTAAGCACACCAAGGTAAGCACGCTACCGGTAAATATGGTCAGAGCTCCCTCCGTCTTCCAAACAACGTATAAGTTCTATACCCCGTCCTCAACAACAAGAAAGCTTCCTCCAACGTAGTAGTATTGAAAAAGAAAAGGGCCCCATCTCAAAATATCAGACAAGTAGCAGAGAGCTCCGTTTACCGCTCCCGTCGCCAGGAAAAGACCTCCTTTCTCTCTTGGCTACGGGAATAAGAGAGCTCCTGACTATCTCGTCCTCGCCCCCTCTGCCCAGCCTTCAACAACGACAAGATAAATCCTTTACTTCATGCTCCAAAACAAGAACAGAGCTTCCTCCAAGTTACTCTTGGTAAGAGAAGAAAACTTCTTTGAAGAGAACAACTCCATTATCTCTTGCTAAGTCGCCTCTTATTGTTGATTTCAACAACTATGCATAAGTTCTTTACTTCATCAAGGACAACACTAGGATAGCTCGCTGCAATGAAATGAGAACAGAAAAAGAGCTCCTCTTCGTCTTTGTCGGCAAGAAGAGAGCTCCTTTACCTCGCGTTAGAGGAAGAGCTCCTAGCTCCCCTGGCTTCCAAACAGAAGAGCCCGCTGCCTCATGCTCGGCAAGAAGAGACCTAGAGTTTCCTCCAATCTAATGAGACAGAAGAGAGCTTCGTCTCGAAGAACGACAAACAGGCCCCACCAAGATATCGAGAAAGAAGAGAACTCCGTTTACCCCTAAGTCGGCAAAAGGAGACCTCCTTTCTTTTTAGGTAAGAGAAGGAGATCCTGACTACCCCTTTACCTCTTCAAAACATGGAAGAGAGCTTGTCGTGCTCAAGAAGAAAGGTGGAGCTCCCTCCAACCCTCAAACAAAGAAGTCTGGTCCTTCCCTGAAGTTTCACAAGGAAAAGAGTGCTCCTCCACCCCATGCTGTTCCATGAAGACAGCTCCCCCCAGTCATTCGCGGTAAGAGAAGAGAACTTCTTTCTAGAAGGGAGCTCCTTTGCCGCTAGGTAACCCGAGTCTCAATCCAGAGAAGAGAATCCCCCCCACAAGCCCAACAATGTATGAGTTCTCTACTTCGTCATGAGAAACAAGAAAAACTCCCTCCAAGTTCACGACAAAGATGAGGGCTCCTTTACCTCGGGCTCCCTTTTTTGGCAAAGGCGCAAGCTCCCGAACATCTCCTCCTCCTCTTCAAAACATGGAAGAGAGCTTACGATCAAGCTCCAAACTTCAAACCTTGACAAGGGAAGTCTAGTCCTCCTTGCGGCCTTGAAAGGAACATGAGAAGCCCTCTACCTCATCCTCTGAGACAAGAACAGAGCTCACTCCAAGTTACGTTTGGTAAGAGAAGAAAGCTTCTTTCTAGAAGAGAGCTCCTTTACCTGTTGCAAAGTCTTCATCCTAATCTTAAAAAGACGGAAGAGAGCACGCTACTAGTAGATATTGACAGAGCTCCCTCCGTCTTCCAAACAACGTATAAGTTCTATACCCTGTCCTCAACAACAAGAAAGCTTCCTCCGACGTAGTAGTATTGCGAAAGAAAGAAAAGGGCCCCACCCCAAAATAGCAGACCGGCCCCTCCAACTTCACGAGAAGAAGGCTCCAGTCGACAAGAAGAGACCTGCTTTGTCTTTTTTGGCAAGGGGATTAAAAGAGCTCCCGACTATCTCCTCTTCCTCTTCAGAAGATGGCGGAGAGCTTACGCTTAAGAGGAAAAGATGGAGCTGCCCAGACCTTCAAAAAGAACACTCTGGTCCCCGGGACAGCTTTAAAGAACGAGAGGATAAAAATCCTCTACGTCATGTTCAAACAAGAAAAGAGCTTCCTCCAAGTTACTCTTGGCAAGAGAAAAGAGCCCTTTTCTAGCAAAGAACTCCCTTACCTCTTGGTATGTCGTCTCTTATTCTTGAGAAGATTGAACAGACCTCCCTCCTTTCAAGACAGGACCGAGTGCCCCCAGATTTCAACAACTATGCAGAAGTTCTTTACTTCTCTACCTCATCGTAGAAAACAACAGGAGAGCCCCCTGCAATGTCATGAAAACAAAAACATCTCCTCTTCGTCTTGATCGGCGAGAAGAGAGCTCCTTTGTTAGAGGAAGAGATCCCCTGGCAAGAGATGACAGAGCTCCCTTAGCTTCCAAACAGAAGAGCCCTCTACCTCATGCCCGACAGGAAGAGACTGAGAGCTTCCTCCAATCTAATCAGACAGAAGAGAGCTTCGTCTCGGACAAGGACAAACAGGCCCCTGCAAGAAGAAACTTCCTTTCTCTTTAGGTAAAGAAAGGAGGTCCTGACTATCCCCTGTACCTCTTCAAAACATGGAAGAGGGCTTGACATGCTCAAGAAGAAAAGCTGGAGCTCCCCCCAACCTCCCTTCAAGTTTCAGAAGGACAGAGAACTCCTCCACCCCATGCTCTCACACAAGAAGAGGGCTCCCCCAGTTATTCGTGGTAAGATAGGAAAACTTCATTGTAGAACAGGGTTTCAAGAGTGAAGAGACCTCACTCCTAG